CAGTTAACACATGGGAGCCCCGAGGGGCAGACATAACTTTCCTGGCGCTGGTACCTAGTTATGGGGAAGCAGGAATTTCTGGCCCAATGTTCACCTCACTCTGACTTTCAGGTCAGCAGAGAAACTGTTTTCAGTAGTTAAACTAAGGAGGTGTTATGGGTTGAACGGGGTCCCCCCAAAAGATATGTTCACTCCTAACCCTCCCAGTACCTGTGAATGTGATTTATTTGGAAATAGGGTCTTTGCAGATGTAATCAGTCAAGATGAGATTGTACTGGATCAGGGTGGGCCCTAAACCCAATGCCTGGTGTCCTTATCAGAGACATAGAGACACTGGGGAGAAGACCATGTGATAATCGAGACTCAGATTTGAATGATGCATCTACAAGTCAAGGAACACCAAGGACTGCCAGGAGCCACCAGAAGCTAGGAGAGAATCATGGAATAGATTCTCCTCTAGAGCCTTCAGAGCAGGGCTTTGAACCAGTTCATTATGGCTCTGCCCCCTGCTGAGAATTTGCATTTCTACCTCTCAGATATACTGAATCAGAATCTACATTTTAACAAGATCTCCAGGTGATGTACACATAAGAATCACCCCGGGATCTATAAGAATTACCCAGAGATCTTGTTAAAATGTAGGTTCCAATTCAGTATATCTGGGGTGGAAATACAAATTCTCAGCAGGAGGTTGAACTGAAATGAACTGGTTTGAAGTCCTGCTTCAGAAGGAGCGTGGACCTGCCGACGCCTTGATTTTGAACTTCTGTCCCCCAGAACTGTGAGAGATTGAATTTCTGTTGTTTTAAGTCACCCAGTTAGTGGTCATTTGTCACAGAAGCGCTAAGAAACTCATACTGGGGGGTGTCTCAAACACCTTCCTCTTCATTACACTGGGAATGCAGCCAGTGGAAAAATGAGTGTCCTTGGAGCCCGTGGGGACCATGTTCAAATCCAGCCTCCAGCACTGACTAATTCTGGGTCATCTGGGTCCCTGTCTTACCCACCATCCCCAGCCTAGTCACTCTACCTTATTTTTCTCCACAGCACCCAGACCACTGCATCTTAAATACCTGACACCATCTCTGCTGTCACCCCGGAACTCTGTTTTGCACATAGCTGTATCCTCAGTGGAGCCCTGGCAGGGCAGTGGTTAATAGCTCAGCTGCTAATCAAAAGTTCAGCAGTTCAAATCCACCAGCTGCTCCTTGGAAACCCTACAGGGCAGTTCTACTCTGTTCTATAGGATTGCTATGAATGTAGGAAACGACTCCAAGGCAACCGGTTTGGTATGCTCAGCGCCCAGCTCCAAGTTGGCCCTAGGTAAATACTTGGGAAGGAAAGAAGCCCCACCTCTGAGCCTGAACTTCCTTATCCAGCAAACTGCTACATTAACAGTTCTTACCTGGTTGGTAAGAGGACCCGAGAGAAGACACAGCAAATTCTCAATCAATGTGATTAGTGTTATAACCAGGGTAACGCAACAAGAAGGTTGGGAGGCCACCATGGGTGTGGTGGGCTTGGTATACAGTATGTGCTCATAAAAGGGTTATGACTACCGTGGAAATAGTCACCGTAACCAAGCAGTGCCACGTTTCTAAACTTTTTTGAGACGAAAAAAACAAAAACCAAGCCCATTGCCATAGAGGTGATTCAGACTCCTAGTGACCCTGTAAGACAGAGTAGAACTGCCCCATAGGGTTTCCACGGCTATAATCTTTACAGAAGCAGACTACCACATGTTTTTCCTGCTGAGTGGCTGGTGGGTTTGAACCATCTCCCTCCCTGTTAGCAGCTGAGTGCTCAACCACTGTGCCACCAGGGCTCCTTTCTTGAGAGAAGAGGTGCCAAACGGGAGGATGCAGGTCTAAGAGCAGAGGAGCCGCTTGGAATGTGAGCTACCCAGCAAGGAAGCAGGTTGCCTGGCCCCAGCTGGCCTCCCTCCCTCATCCACACCCTGCTTCCCTTTATTATACTTCCTGTGTTTGCACAAGGTGCCTCAGAGACAGGACACCTTGTTTCTCAGCTGTCTTCCCTGCCTGCTGCCTGAATAAGGGACCTCCCCGCCACTCCTGACACCCACGCCATGCACACTCAGTCTCTCCAGGGTGCCTCTGAGAGCACTGGTCCACAGCCAAGTGGTGAGCACCACACGTACCCACAGACATGGTGAAGACCTGCCCAGCCTTGGAGGACCCTCTGGAAAGCTCTGAGGAATGCAGTCCACCTTGGGTCTGTGATCCAAACCCCAAGGCGCCCCAGTCTCTCCATTCAGGTACATCACCCTGTACTGGACATATCTGGACAATCTATAAAGCCTGACCGTCACCAACTACACGTGAGGAGTGTTCAGAAAACACCTAGCTTGCTGCAAAAATCAAAGTATGGAAAGCAAAAAGGAGGAGGAAAAGTAATGTGGCAAAGGCAAACAATTTGGCAAACTAACTTCAAAGTACTTTAACAGGATGCACAACACAAAATATAAGTAGAGAAATGGATTGTGGCAAAAGAATCTAAGTTATATCCCATCGATGTTTAACACACGATACTTCAGAAAAATAGAGATTACACACTGCTGTGGTTTACCCCATCCTAACACCAGAATACTCACTCCAACACTCATTTATAAAACACGATTTTTAAAACACACAAATATTTAAGAGTTATAAAAGCAAAATGTTTGGGCTGTTGCCATTCATTGGGAGAAAAATTTAAAATTTTAAATCAAATACTTTTCAGCTAATCTTTTTCATTAAAAAGTAAATTTAACTTTGATGTTTCCCTTCACCCGTCAAAAGGCCATAGCAGAACATAGAGCTACCATAATCCCTCACCATCGAGTCAGTTCCAACTCATAGTGACGCTACAGGACACAGTAGAACTGCCCCATAGGGTTGCCAAGGAACGGCTATTGGATTTGAACTGCCCACCTTTTGGTTAGCAGCCGAGCTCTTAACCACTGCACTACCAGGGCCCCAGAGCTACCATATGACCCAGCAATCCCAATCCTAGATATATACCCAGAAGAAGTAACGGCAGAAACACAAACAGAAACCTGTACACCAATGTTCATTACAGCACTTTTCACAATAGCCAAAAGGTAGAAACAACATGTCCATCAACAGATGAACGGATAAATAAAATGTGGTACATACATACAATGGAATACTACGCATTAGTCATAAAGAGAAATGAACTCCTGATGCACGTCACAACACGGATAAACCTTGAAAACATCATGTTGAGCAAAATAAGTCAGTTGCAAAAGGACAAATACTGTATGATCTCACTCATCTGAAATAACCAAACATAGAAACCAAAGATTAGTGGTTACCAGGGGTGGGAGGCAGGGGGAAAGGGGGACTTTTTGCTTAGAGGGCATGAGTTTGCGCTAGTGGTGGTGAGTGTTTTGAATGAGGATAGCAATAATGGTGGCACAAGAAAAATGTAATCAATATCATTGAATTGTATTGGCGAATGTTTTGGTGTGTATATTTTCACCACAATTAAAAAAAAAAAAAAGCCATAGCAGAGTGGTAATTCCCATGAATTTTCAGGAATTTATTTCTGAATGACTGATTAAAAGAAAAATAAAAGGGCACACATAGAGACACTTCTGCAAAAAGTCAGTCAGCGCTCTCGCCCTTAACTCTCATGCAAGGAATTCTGCTACCAAAGCTGGGGAGAAGGTTGTCCGGGGTCACCCCTGGCTTTCACGAGTCAGAGGAGCAGAAGGGCTTTATTTGATGGCTTTGTCAGTTTGTTCGCTGATAAATCCCCCTGACCTAAAACCTGTTGATTTATTCTAAAGGGTTATCTGGAGGTCACGAAGTCAACACGCAAGGCAGAGTGGTTTTTAAAAATTGCAAAGCTGGGAAGCCAGTCTGCTCTTGATTTCCACTGTTTTTGCTACTATTCTTGATAAAACTTTTGAGCAATAGTTTTTTGTTTGTCTTTCAGTGGAAATAACTTTTAAAAATCCATGTAGTACTTCGGGAGCAAGGGAGAATGAAGAAAACAAGAAACAAGGGAAAGATTAGTCCAAAGGACTAA